GCATTGCTCACCATCTCTGAACACACTGCATGTTTCTAGTTTCCTTTGCTCTATTTATATGGTCTAACCCAGCACCATTTCTCTCACCTTAAGTCTCAAATAATGAGCTAGAGACTGCTAGTTACTTCCCCTTCTTTGTTAATGTTAGAATCATTGATTTTTTTTAGGTGGGCACATGGCTACCCAATAAAGACTACATTGACCAATAGGGTGTAAGTGTAGTGATGCCTATAGCTTCTGCAAGTGTCCTTGGATAGTGGATGTGTTCCTTTTTGTCCCATCTCCTTTTTGCTGGCTGGAAAAAGGATGTGCTGGTTGGAGCTTGAGCAGCCATCATGGATCATAAGGTAGAAGTTGCATTTTAGGATGGTAAAATTACATGACAGAAGAAACCTGTGTCCCTGCTCATTAGAGAATCACCATACCAACACTGGACTATCCACACTTAATGTGAGCAGAATACATGTTATTTTGTTTAAGCTACTGCTACTTTGAGCTTTTTAACTGCCACAGAACTCAATCCCTCCATGAAAATGTATTGTTTAGGATGATTTTCTGGTGATCAGTAACAGGATCTATTCAAAGTTGTATTAAGCAAAAGGGGGAATTATTATCAGTTGCAATAAGCAACTGAGATAAATTGGAAGGCTGAGAGAAAGGGTTAACAGAGAGTTTAGACTCTTAAAAAGCATGATCTCCCTCAAAAGAATCATTTGAACAAGCTACATGCATATAAGAAAATGATTTTAGAAATGACTTTATTTTATTTTTATTTTTTTGAGTCAGAGTCTCACTCTGTTGCCCTGGTGGGAGTGCAGTGGCATGCTGACAGCCACAGCAACATCGACCTGCTGGGCTCAGGCGATCCTTCTGTTTCAGCTTTCCAAGTAGCTGGAACTACAGGCATGCACCACCATGCATGGCTAATTTTTGTGTACAGCCGAGGTCTCATCATGTTACCCAGGATGGTCTTGAACCCGTGGGCTCAGGCAATCCTCTCACCTCCACCTCCCAAGGTCCTGGGATTACAGGCATGAGCCACCACGCCTGGCTAAGGGGGAACTGTTTTAAGGACACAAGAATTTCTCACAAAACTTATGGGAAGGGATGAAGGAAGCCTCAGGAATAGACTAGAACCTGGAACTGAAACGCTAAGGGGAAGCCTCTCATTGTGTTTTATCTCTCCTCTTTTGTCATACTGAAGATTATTTATGTACCCGGCGTAGAGGAGCAATAAATAAATATTTGTTTAATAGATGACAATTTGTGTGTGTGATAAACTGAATCTAAAGTCAATTCCAGTCTGGGAGCAGTGGCTCATGCCTGTTATCCCAACACTTCAGCCAAGGAGCTCGAGATCAGCCTGGGCAACATAGTGAGACCCCACCTGTACAAAAAATAAAAAATTAGCCAGGTGAAGTGGTATGTGCCTGTAGTCCCAGCTACTTGGGAGACTGAGGAGGAATGAATGCTTGAGCCCAGGAGTTCGAGGTTGCGGTGGGCTGTGATCATGCCACTGCACTCCATTCTGGGTGACCGTGAGATCCCAACTCAAATAAATAAAAATAAAATGAAATCATTTCCGAAATCGTTTTCTTATATGCATGTAGCTTGTTAAAATGATTTTTTTGGAAGAAGATCATGTTTCTTAAGAGTCTAACCGGGTTCGGTGGCTCAGCCTGTAATCCTGCACTTTGGGAGGCTGAGGTGAGTGGATTGCCTAAGCCCGCGGGTTCAAGACCTGCCTGGGCAACTTGGCGAGAACCTCATCTCTACAATAAATCAAAAAATCAGCCGGGCGTGGTAGCGGGCGCCTGTAGTTCCAGCTACTTGGAAGGCTAAGGCGGAAGGATTGCCGAAGCCCAGCAGGTCGAGGCTGCAGTGGCTGGGAGCGGCCACTGCACTCCAGTCTGAGTGACAGAGTGAGACTCCAACTCAAAAAAAAAAAAAAAAGAGTCTAAGCTCTCTGTTAACCCTTTCTCTCAGCTTTCCCATTTATCTCAGTTGCTTATTGCAACATCAGAAGTGGGGCTTGAAATGCAGGGTTGCCCATAATTAACCAAATGAAAGACATTTTAGAGACAGCCTTGCATGTATAGGAGTTGGAAAAGCAAATTTTTATAGGAATGTAAGTACTGGCCCACAAGTAACTTTTGCTAGACAAGGAAATAATACATTATTTTTGATACATTTTCCCCATACCCAGAGTTTTTTTCTTTTTCTTTTTGCATTGTTATTATCTACTATGTGGTTTCCCATTTTTACCTAATTTTTGCCCTTGAAGGTTTCTTATGTTCTTGCCAGCTCACTGAGATGTTTGATGTTTTTATATATTTTATCCAGCACTTTGAGTTGCTTTTGGTGGGAGAATCAGTCAGAGTCTCTAGTCTGCCATACTGCTGGACACAAAAGTCCAATATGCTTTTTAAAGAGTTTGTATTTCATTTGTTTGTAAGATACTAAACTGCATTCTAAAGACTAGGGCCTGGATAGGTATGGTGTTTCACACCTGGAAATCCCAGAACTTTGGGAGGCCAAGGCAGGAGGATCACCTGAGCCTAGGATCACACTTGTTGCACCAGTCTGATCAACATAGTGAGATGCCATCTCCACCAAAAAAATTTTAAGAAAATTAGCTGGATATGATGGTACTCACCTGCAGTCCTAGCTACAGGGGAGGCTGAAGTGGGAGGATTGCTTGATTCTAGGAGTTTGAGGCTGCAGTGAGCTATGATTTTGCTACTGCCCTCTAGCCTGGGTAACAGAGTAAGACTCCATCTCTAAAAATAAATACATAAATAAATACAACATACATACATACACACATACATACCAGAACCCTAATTCTGGTGGTCTAAGTGCCCCATATATAAAGATGAAGAATATGTGCATCAATTTTTTTTTAACTTATGAGATAACATGAAATCAGTTTGTAACTGGAAAGTACCATACAAATATATATTTTCCTTGAAAGTAAAACAGAGGTGGGCAACCCCCTCAGGTCCCCTCCTACTGTGGGAGCTTTTCTTTTTTTTCTCTCAATAAATCCTACTTTTTTTTTTTAAAAAGAGGAAAACAAGCAATAAAAGTTATAACTAAGGGTAACAACCTTAAAATGATTTGTTCAGTTTAAAACTCCTATATCTTTGTAATTGTCCCCTTTGTTTTCTGGCCCCAGGTATGAATGGGAAAGCCTAAAGATTTTTAAAAAATTAATTTTATTTTATATGTTGAGTTTGACATTAATTGTATACTTTATTTTTTCATTAAAAAGGGCAAACTTTAGCACACTATAAAATCTATTATGCTTTTTAAATTTGTGAAGTGCCAGTTCCTTTTACATTTGGGTAAGCACTCTCACTTAGGATGCTCACAGCACTGTGTATAGGCTGAGATTCTGAGAGTATAACGCTCTATAATGTGTCTTGGTCTCTATGCTGCAAGGACACTGAAATGTTATAATAGGTAATTAACTATATTACTCTCCTCCTTATCAAACTGTGCTGACAGCTTAAGTCTTTGTGAAGAAATGTCTCTAAGGATATTCCAAGGAGCCTCGTGGATTGGAGGCACTTTGTAAATGGGCCAGTGCGGGACCCAGGTGTGTGGCTATTGCTTACTGTCTTCTCTAGAGGCATAATGTCTTAAGTCTTGTGCAGAACGCATCATAAGACTTGTCCTCTAGACATTCATATACCAAGACAGCACACTCTGCATTGTAGGTCAGCCACTCATTCTGCACGTATTGAACCAGTATCAGGCTTCTATGTGCCAGGCCTTGTGTCTGTTCTCAGAAGCTCACGGTCTAATTAGGAAAAGGGAGAAATAAACCCATGGCTGTAATTCTATGCGATATGTTGCAGAAAGAGGTAAGTGTTCTGACACACAGGTAGGGGCACCTAGCCCACTCTGGGCTAGGTGGGATAGGGCTGAGTGACAAGCAACAGGGAAGGGCTCACAATGGAACTAATGCCTGGGTTGAATGATGAAGGATAATAAAGAATCAGCTGGCTAAGGAAAAGGCAGGGTATCAGGATATAAGAAAAAGGAACAGCATAGGTGAAGACAGGCATGTGTGAGGCACAGGAATGTACGGCAAGATTGGGGAACCCAAGTGGTCTGCTGTGTGTTGAGTTTATTCATCCCGCTTAGTTATTATAGACATACGTGTCTCCTTATGTTTGAGTCCCTGGATGGTGGGGATTTTGTAATGGTTTCTCTGTCCCCATGTCTAGCACTAGGCACATAGAGTACAATAAATGTCTGATGAATGAATGACCAACTACGTGGTTTAAGGAAGAATAGTGAGGGGTCCATTAAAGAGAAAGGTCCTATCTACTGGCAATGACTATGAGGTGAAGATCAGATGAGAAAGATTTAAGAATTATTTTGGTTGTAGGATGGATGGGACTTGGTGATATATTGGAGATGGGTATAAAAGAATAAAAACGGACTTTCTAGTTTCTGGATTATAGGTGGACGGTAATAGTAAAAATGTTATTACTATGAATAGCTAATATTCATTAGGCACTCTGTGTACGCTGTTTTTACATATATTAAGCCACTTAAACTCTCAATGACTCACTGAGGTGGGTACTTTTATTATATCCATTTACTGTTGAGAAAACTGGGGCTATAAAGATTAACTCGCTCAAGGTCACACGGCTAGCAGGTGGCAGATTCAAACCCAAGAATTCTGATTCCAGTAGCCATACACATAACCGACCTTTCTTCACTGCCCCTAACAGATGTGATCCATACACAGAACGATGCTTCCACTCGATACGTGTGTCGCTTCTCTCTCTCTTTTACTAAACAGACACATATAGCCATTGTCTCATTCTCGATCCGATTTTTAGGAACGTGGCTCTCTCTGCATTTTCACTTTTTCTACCGGAAGACCTAAAGTGGGGTGAAGTTTGATAAAACAGTTGACACAAAGATGGGAGAAGGCAGGGACACACACGACATTCTCGAATGCTCTGGCAGCTGCTGGAAGGTGATGGGATCTGGGTTCTCAGACTGCTGCTTCCCATCCCCCGCCACACACCCGCTGTCAGGTGTCTACGGACGCCGAGCCCCAGGTTGGTCCTCGAAGTCCTCAACTCACGGCGAAGGTGCCTCCTGCCTCTCCGGGCGAGCCCGACATGCTTGGAGTCAACCACAGACCGCCTGTCGAGCCTCGCAAAACACCGCCCGGCGTCGACGCGCGCTGGTTCCCAGGGAAACCACCCGCGGAGGAAACCCGGG